GCTTTTAAAAGTCGATTTTTATCGATTTTATCGATTCGTTGTTGCAGCCCTACCTTGTTTGCACATGCCCACTGAGCGATTTGCCCATGACCCCTTTACGACAGCCAACTGAATTTCAAACATGTTTGATTTTCTCCCGACCTTCTGATTCCTGATCGGGAGGTGGTCGTGAGAGGCTGATCAGCCCTTGTTGCCCCCTGTACACTACACCACGCACGATCAGGCTGAAAGTCAGCCAGATCGAAAAATTCGCCAACGACTGGAGAATTGGCACAAAAAGTGCAAAAAATCAAACAGTGAATGCCCGACTTAATCCAGTCATCAGTGCCAAGATCATGACAGGCGGAAAAGTTTATCTGGTGTGTAATGTGTACACATTTCCAATTTAGTAATACAAGCTGCCGGCAGATGCCATATGATAATGTTTATGTCTGCTGATCATTCCTGGTGCAAAAAGTCTTTTCATGTTAAACAATTACACATAATCAGGAGAAATGTTTGAAAGATGTTTAATTTGAAGATAAATGCTTTGTTTTTTAGTCATAGTCCATGAGGAGGGCCCTTTAATTCAGTCATAAAATCCTAGAATCATACCAAACCGGGAACTGACATCCAGTTTACAATCAGCACGGTGAATTTGCACATAGCAATCTCATCTTAACAGTAGACCTGTTTGAATTCTAACTCATCAGGGTCACAGCAACCACAAAAGACATTTCAATACCAAGAATTGACGAAGACTCCTGGACTAAAATCAGTTCTCTTTGAAAGATTTACTGAGTTTGATATTGTCAGAATAAATCAAGGAATTACAGAGAGGTGTAGAAAGAGGGATTTAGAAGAAAAATATTTTTTGTGACATATTGAGACATCTCGTGTTTTTTTCTTTCGAGCTATAAGGGTGCATGTCTTTCAATAGAAAGCGAAATGTCTGAATGAAGAGCCACAATGTTTCTATAAATACTCCAGTGTCTGCCCTGACATTATAAAAAACCTAAAATTGTTTTAGAGACTTAAGAAAAACAGTTTAGTTCAGATTTGACATGCTCTGTATCAATCAACCTCAGCCATTGGTTTTATGACTCACTTGGTTTTTATTTTGTCCTTCAGGATCATGTTTAAGTCACTATTAAACCAGGAAATCATAGAACAGAACCATCTATAGTTCTGCTGCAAAAGTGACTGAATCCCACAATAGGCTACATTCCTTCCAGAGCTGCAGGATATTTTTGATCAGATCTGCAGTAAAAAGTAAAAAGTGTGATTTATGATATAAGGTCATATAAGCAGCTAACTTCATTTTGGCTTTTGTGATAGCAAAGCCCTGATCTCTTGCTTAAGAGTTGTATCATTGCATCTGTTCCTAATGTGAATTAATGCCAGAGAAATAGATTTGGAATACCTTTCTACTTGTATCTATCTTGTGTTTTCTCCCACACTGTTTACATTTGATCACTGCTGCACTTTAAGAAATGAAAAAGTCATGAGAGCTGTACTAAAGCAAATTTTGTTTTGTATACACCCTGTGTATACAACATGACAATAAAAGTTGTCTAAGTCTAGACAACAACAAAACAATGACAAAGAGATTGGCCTAGTTTAGGTCTCAGCTGCATTTTTTTGTGTGTTTTACCAACAGAGAATGTAGATCCTATCTTTTACTTTCTGAATCGGTTGTCTGTAGGGCTGCAAATGAAGATTATTTTGATAATTGATCAATCTGTCGATAATTTTTTTCGATTAATCGATTAATAATCGGATAGCGAAAGGTTCCTTAAAGAAGTTTTTATACAAAATTAAACCAGGTGTAACTAAAACTTTTCAACTTGGAGTTCTGAATAGAGAATATTGTCAGGAGAAAAAGTTATTCTTTTATCTTAAATGGAAGATATTTATATATTTTTTCTCAATTTTGGTATAATTATTGCTCTAAGTGGGTTGTCCTGTCAACTTAAGGCACGTTTGAGTCTCTAGACTGCAGTTAATGAATAATAGATTACTGAATTAGATGACAATTGTTTGAATAATCGATTAATCATGATTAATCCAATTAATTGTTTGAACCCTAGTTGTCTGCTTTCTAAATGCACCATGTGTATCAGAGGCGATAGAACAATGCAGCTTTACTGAGCTGTTTTCAGCCTTTCAGTTATCCTTTTTTCTATTTTTGACTCAACTTTAGGTGATGAACTTGCTGCTCAGAAAGAAATACTGCAGACTTTGAAGCAGCAGCTATTTTTTGGTTCATATTTAATAAAAGCATAATTAGGAGTTTTCCTTGTATTCTGGTTCTTGATGCATTACCTTCTAAAGCATCATAGTGCAATCTAAGGAGAAGACAAAAACCTTCCTATTTTAAAACCCGTCAAACATGTTAACTAGAATACCAGCATCAACATTACATTTCACCTAAACAAAAGACGGTTACTAAAATAACTCTTGGTTTGAACAGCTCAGAACATTATTCTCGTCAAGCTTTGAAAATAACAGGGATAAAAAAAAAGGTTTTAGTCTAAAAGGGTTGAGTGTCTGTTCAGTTGTCAAGAAATCTAAAAATAACGTCCAAACACACTTTCTGTCTCGTCTTATATGTGTGGAAGCTTGACTCTGACTTGTAACCCTGTGATATATTTTTCTCAGCGCCCAGATGGCGGGTCTCTTATGTGAGGAGGAAGGACCAGAAGCTGACAACGTTAAATATTGTGGTTACTGCAAGCACCACTACAATAAAATGGTACAAAGAGTAAATTATTGCTTCTTTATCGTTTTACAACATAAACCTGTTTGTGCTTGTAAAAGCTCAGCAGTTCTTGAGGCTAAGCTAACTGTTTGCTTTTACAGCAGAAGAAATTGCGCTCCAGTGAAAATGCAAGCAGCTCCTTCAGTCATTCCAGGGGGCGCTCCAGTTCTCCATCACAGGAAAAACATCATCACCATAAACAAAGGAAGGTAAACACCACTTTGGTCTGATTAAGTCTCTGTAGCACGATATGCGTGTGTTTACTGGCCTCTGTCATGTCTCTCCACTTTAAAGTGAATTATCACTTTGAAATCCATTTGATTTATATTTTCCTATTTTTTTTTTTTTAGAAAGCACAGGGGTAGAATGAAGGCATTTAGCAAATCAAAGCTCTAGAAATGGTGAGACCATTCGGGAAAAATCAACGAGTGGAAAAAAAAAACGCTTCCAAAGCGATTCTTAAGAAAATACCACCACTGGTAGAAAAATAAACCAACAAATCAGAAGCAGCTGGAGAAATGAGTTCCATTGAGTTTTTTTTTTTTCAATAAGGCAGGCGTCTCCATCCCATTGCTCACAAGCTACCTGTAGCTTTGCAGGCCCTTTCCAATAGTCCTTCAAAGAGTCAGCAATATGAAAACACAAATCTGATTTGTCACTTGATGAAAACTTTTCACATCAATCCTCAGTCTCCTGTCTCCAAAGTTTCCTGCCTCCTACAGAGATCCATGTTCTTTGTCAGTCGACTGTCTATCAGACATTAGCGCTGGTCTGCTTTCTATCATCAGAGGAAGATGAGGGGGTTGAGGTTAGAGGCAGCATGCAGTGTTAGGCGCAGGCTTGGCAGAAAGAATGACAGCAGCATAGTTCGGTCAGGTCAGAAAGAGACAGAAATGTATTTTTACTAAGAGAGGGAATTTGATTTTTTTCTCAAAAATATAAACAACAGGTGTTTGTTTGAGTGTCTGAACTGTGGAACAAGCCTAGAGTTGGTACAGGACAGAGGGAAACATTTCAGGTTAAGCCCATTTCATAAAGTTAAGGTGAAAAGACTGAAGGCCGCAAAATTATTAACCAGGCTATGACTGCTGTGGTGGAGTCTTTATTCTTGAAATTTCCAGTGGAATAAAACGGAGATTCTGTTTCCAATTTCTTAGCTGAAGTCCCACACGTTGTGATGGGGTATCACTCCATTCAAACTGCATCTGAATGTTTCTAAATTTCTGAACTTTGCATCATCCACAATACCAGCTTTATTTATTTGTAGAAAAATTTAACACACAGCAAAAGTGGAGTACACCAAGTTAAAATTAAGCATGTTTAAATCTCATAATACTGAATTTTCCTTCCGGGTTCAATAAAGTATAATTAAATTTAATTGAATACCATATAAAACAACTCCGGTTGTTATACATAGTTATATTTAAACATTAGAGAAAAGAATATGGCATTTTACTTGAAAACAACCTGCCTGCTTCATATAATAATTTTTAAAAGTTTTAGGATTCCTTATGATAGTTGTTTTTGTCGGTGTGTGACTATGCTACACAATACACGTCTCTTTGTGTTTTTTCAGAGTCATAAAGACAAGATCCGTCAAAAAGAGCGGCACAAGAAGTCTGCTGACGACCTGAGCTCCCCCTTAACAACAAGCATTATAGAAAAGGTAGAAACAGCCAAACCACAGTGTGGAGTCACTGTGGTACAAAACCTCACAGGACACAGGGTGCATTTTAGCTGCAATCTGACACAAGTTCCACCATTGGTGTTAAAGTGCTTGGTGGGAACTTAGACATAGACCATTTTATTCATTTTTTTGAGAACTTCTGCTTTTATATAAATGTTATTCTGAAGGACATTTATATAATAGCATTACACAATGATGTATTAAATGTGTTTTATTGGCTTGTTGTTTTTTTTAAGTTGTGTAAATACATAAACTGCTGGTTTAAAAATTGATTAAACAGTTTTGATCTTTCTCTTTGAAAGAACAGTATATAGAGGATGATTTGAGATGGAATATAATCCAAAATAGCCCCACCCCCCAGGTTTTCTATAATTTTACTCCTGGGAGCTGAGATGAACATTAAAGATGCCTGATTTTTATTTTTCTCTCTTGGGAATCCTTTCTGTGTTTAATGGGATGTATATTTTTAGATACATATCCTGCTCAAAAACCTAGTGAGGACTATTTTAAGCTTTCTGCTACAGTTTACCATATTTATTTTTTAAAATCTGCAGCTTTTTCAAAGGCTCTATTCAATTCAATTCAGTTTATTTATATAGCGCCAAATTCACAACACATGTCATCTCAAGGCACTTTACAGTTCAGATGCAATGCTCTCCAATGCTCTCCAAAAGGGTTCTTGTGAGCCCGGATAGAGAAATGGGCCCACAGCATCACAAATCCTTCATTGTATTTAAAAGAACACATGCTTTTCTACACATTTTTGTGCCAAATTTTTGTGGCTGAAAAGCTTGATCTCGTTCTGATCTAAGGAAAGCTTTAAGTGACTAGTAAAGCTCCAGGAGCATTGGGCAAGCTCTTCATATATTTGTGACAGTGGGATAGAAACAACCTTTTTTCCCATAATGCTACTTTTGCCTGATGGTTTTCTATGGTTCTGATGTTTTGTTTTGTTTTTTTTGTTGTGGGCTTTAATTTTAGGATTTATTTTTTTTCATGACCAAATGCTACATGTTACATTTTGAGTTGTGAGACTATACTGCTGCATAAAAAAGTATATTTTTGAATATCTAAACCAGATGTGGAAATATATTTTTAGGCGTCTCTTTATAAACTAGGGCTGGGCGACGATTCAAAAATTTTGTTATTATTATTTTCTGTTTATAAAGATACAATTTTTGGAAAATCTGTAATTTTTTTCACCAATTTACTTCTTGTGCTTCCATAGCTCAGAATTACATCAGTTCCTTACTTTTTGATCTAGGATGTGTACTTATAAATGATAAACCAGCTCACTATTGGATACCTCTAGCTGCATATTGTTTCCTTTTGAATGAAGTTCACCTCCCAGATTGGAATCAAAGCTTGTTTTTGAAAGTAATGTTTGTCATTTTAAGAATAAAACAAATGGGGAAAAATGTATTAATTGGATTATGTAGGGAAAAATGAGATTAGATTCTAAGCCATATATAAACTTCAAGGAGTTTTGATCTTTCTTTCTTAAATAAGACTTGTGTTTTTTATGTTGGTGGTATAAATGTTTGTTTCTGACTAAAATGTTTATTTCTGTATTTTGTTTTTGATATGCATCCACAGATCCCCTCCTCGCATCATAGCAGCAAGGACAGCGAAGGAAAGTCAAAGAAGCTGAGCTCTCACAGTCATGGCCACCGCATTAAGAAAACAGGAAGCCTGGGAAAAAGCTGCTCTTCCTCCTCATGCTCCTCCAGCCCATTTAACACAGGTTCTTCCTGAAGCATCACCATCACACTGAGAGGTTGTTGAAAGGGTTTGTGTCTAACTGTTTGTCTTCTGCAGGCGGATCACTGTCAGCAACTCAGGATTTTCATCAGTTCTCATCTTCCTCCCGCTTGGAACGCGAGCACGACCGTGGAGGCGATGACCACAATGGAGAGAAGCGTAAGGAGCGTCACAGGAGGTCTGCAGTGCAGGAGGAGGAGGAAGAGGAGGAGGAGGAGGAAGAAGAAGAAAAGCGTGAAAAATATGAAGAGGAGGAGGAAGAAGAAGAGGAGGAGGAGGAGGAAGATTGTAAATTCCAAAAGCCGCCCGCATTGACCCCTGCAGATTGTCCCCTGGCAGGGTCTCAAAGTCATGAGCGGACGGAGAGCAACTCAAGCCCCTTCGAGAACAAAGTCACCATCTCCACCTTCGGCTCAATCATGCGCATCACCTCCTCCTCAGGGCTGGGCAGCACCTGTAAAATCCGCAAAATCTCTTCCTCAGGTGACTACAAGCCCTCCAAATCCCTCTCCAAGCCACCTCAGGTCAGCGTCCCTCCTGTATTGGAGGACGCTGGCCTGAAAGACAAGATCACACCCCCACCGCTGCCCAGAGAGAGGAGGCACCACAGTAACAAGAAGAGCCGCCATGGCCCAGGTCGCCCGCGGGGCAGCAAGAACCGAGAGCGGAGGGAGGAGGACCATCACCACCATCATGACTCCACAGCGCCGCCTCCCCCAGCCTTAAGCTCTTCACTCTACCAGAGCCCATCATCTGTGCCCCACCCTGCTTTCCCCTCCACTCTGCCTTCCACATCTTCCTCTACAGCCTCCTCCTCCTCTGCAAGGAGTTTTTCTGCAGGTCGCAGCAGCTCTTTGCTCGGCTCCGGTGAGTCTGAGCGGGTGGGCGTGTGTGGTAGCCCATAACTTCCTGTCTATATGTGTGCACATTGCTATTTGTTTGAACTGCGCTGTATTCAATTTGCAGCTCGAGTTGAATTGTTGAAATATTTCCATTACACACTGCAGCTTATCTGAGCATCATGACCTCAGAGTTGTAGAGGAAATGAAAAGCCAACTAGGATCAACAGATTTAGTCTAATGTTACTGCTCCTCTAATTTATAAATCTGCTTCAGAGTACCGTTTAATCTGTGTGAGGCAGAGATATTGTCCTAGATATGGTTTGCTGTGTGAGCTGCACATTTCCTGACCTACTTTTCGACTCAGCCTCATGAGTGCCACCATACATGTTTTTGGAGCTTCACAAACTGCCACGAGAGAAGATCAGACACTAAGGTTTTTTGTTTTTAATCATTCCTTTCCCATTCTACTCAGGTATCTACTCCAGTCTTAAGGACCCACTCACACTGGGTGGTGGAGTCTGCAGCACCCCTCTCGCCCTCAGTGGAGGAGTCTGCAGCACCTCCTTGTCCCATGGAGGGACAATGTGTAGCACTCCTCTTTCCTCAGGACTCCTTTCATCCCATGGCTCCTCACTGTCTCTTCCGTCAGTCTCAAACACACAGGTACTTCAGAAAGAATTCATGTAGAGAACTCTAAGGAAAGGGAATTTAAGTACTAGTTAGTCGAGAAAATCTATCAGAGTGGTGTAAGAGCTTTGATAATACAGTAAAATGCAAAAGTTCTTGTATAGGTTGAAGGTTTGTCAGAATGCAATAGTTAACATACAGCAGGATGCAGATCAAAAGTTAATAATCTATCACAGCTCTACTCAGTTGCTGCCTAAAAAATCCATTCATCCATCCATCTTCTTCCACTTATCCGGGGTCGGGTCATGGGGGTAGCAGCTTCAGTAGGGAAGCCCAGACGTCCCTCTCCCCAGCCACTTGGGCCAGCTCCTCCGGGGGAATCCCAAGGCGCTCCCAGGCCAGCCGAGAAACATAGTCCCTCCGGCGAGTTCTGGGTGTCCCCCTTGGCCTCCTCCTGGTGGGACGTGCCTGGAACACCTCACCAGGGAGACGTCCAGGAGGCATCCTAATCAGATGCCCGAGCCACCTCAACTGGCTCTTCTCGATGTGGAGGAGCAGCGGCTCTACTCTGAGTCCTCCCCGGATGACTGAGCTCCTCACCCTATCTCTAAGAGAGAGCCCAGACACACTCATTTCAGCCGCTTGTATCCGGGATCTCGTTCTTTCGGTCATGACCCAAAGCTCATGACCATAGATGAGGGTAGGAATGTAGATCGACCGGTAAATCTAGAGCTTTGCCTTTTTGGCTCAGCTCTCTCTTCACCACAACAGACCGGTACAGTGCACGCTTCACTGCAGACGCCCCACCAATCCACCCATCGAGCTCCCGCTCCACCTTACCCTCACTCGTGAACAAGACCCTAAGCCTAAAGAATCAGCTTTTTAATCTTAATCAGATTCTGTATGTTTTAAACCTAAATTTAAACACTAAAATGTGGTTTATGCCAGATACACGTTCTTATTACCCACAGATGTTTATTGTAATCAATCTGCTTGGTGTGACGGATTGCCTTTGAGTCAATGAGTCGATGCAATCAACTGGTTTTCCTTAGATAGAAAACTTTGAATCAATTTGACAGTATGATCTGGTTGAATTGTATCTGTAAACTGCCTTGAGATGACATGTGTTGTGAATTGGCACTATATAAATAAACCGAATTGAATTGAATCCGATCTTAATCTCTGTCAATCAGGTTCATTCCAGTTCAAGCACCTCCTATAGTCTGAACTCCTCTCAGCCGTTTACCGGCTGTCTCTCTACGGCATCGACGCTGCCGCCTCTACTGAGCCAAGGCCAGACCTCACTGCCAGGTGACAGAAACTGTATTTACTGGTCTTCTGTAGTAAAATAAAGACTGCTTTATTTCCTAGTAACAAACTTTAGACATGAGGCTTTAATGATGCTCTCTTCCTGTTGGGGGTTCTTTTATTTGTTCTGGTATTCAGAGTCCGACATTGATGACTGCCGCTTCCAGTGTCAGGGAAACTCACCCAGAGAGAGTCTCTCCTCACAGTACGTCTTTACTCTTCAATTGGTGTTGATTATTTATATTATTTTATATATATATATACATATATATATCTATATATAGATATATATAGATATATATATAGATAGATATATATACATATATATAGATAGATATATATAGATATCTATATATACATATATAGATATATATATATATTGAGGAAAATGGTACAACCAAATAGATCAATGAATTACCAATAACAATTTCAAGTCGAAATATGAATACAGGAATATATACATGTTTTATAATCAATTATTTGTTCTAATTTATGAAATATCTGGTGAAATATAAGTGGGGGAAATTACATTTCAGAACATTTTAATTCCTCATTAAAATAAATTATTTCGAGCCATTTGTTTAGTTTCATGGTTTCTGTGCTGCGTTGCTCTGAGATTCATTTAAACTTTTACTGTTGGCATCTGATTGGTTAACTTGCAGAGCAGAGTCTTCTCTGGCCATTCATTTTAGCTGCAGCAGAGTTGGTCTCTTATTTGTGAATTCAGGTTCGATTGTGAGAGTAAATGTGCCACTGGGAGGAAAATGGGATCTTCAAACGTTTTCATCGTAAATTAATAATCTGTATATATTTTTAGAGTTTATATTTTTCAAAATAATATTTTGAAACATATTGTGTGTATTGTGTGTCTATTTATTGTTTTGTTAAATACGTATGTATGTATGTTAAATTGTGTAACTTTTCACCCTGCTCTTCGGAGAACATCACCAATAGATAAAAAAAAAAAAACATTTATGGAAAAAGGCAGCTGGCTAACTAACGAGACAAAGGGGTGGGATTAATAACCAAAAACAGATCAAAGCCACAGGTTTTGTCCTCCTTCTGCACACAGGTCTCCCATGAGCTGTCTTCCTCTTCTGTTTGACCAGAGAGATGGGCTGGGCTCTGGGGTCAGAGTCCGTCCTGAGAACGTCCCTCCTGCAAGCTCCCACATCGAACTGCTGTTGGAGAAACATGGAAATGGAGAGATGGGAGTCAACAGTAAATGATCTGTTCAAAAAAACTAAAAAAATGCCCTGTTGGTCTGAATCTTATTAAGTTAAAGCACATAGCTACAAGTTTGACTTCTTCCAGCCAGTACTGTAGGTGGCGTACATAACCGCCCTTGTTTCAACCAACAGTATTGTATATGTACATGTGTCTAGAAAGAAACAGTAACCTCTGCTTGGCTTCTGATCACCTTTGCTTCCTTAAAGGAGAAGTTCGGTTTTTAACACTTTTAGCCCATTTTCTGTAGTGTCCAGGATGAAATCGAATGATCGACACCAAAA